CTCGGATAGTGTCACAGGCGCTTCATCCACCCTTTGCGGTGAGAGGCTGCTTGGCTTTCAAGATAAGAGCCAACTGCGTCAGTCCAAATGAATGACAGTTCACAAAGTTCCCTAGGCTCCGCAGCCTACCGCCAGCGCCTCTCCCTCTTTAGTCCCGCGTTAGGCTGCAAGTAGTGCCTCACCAAGCCCGTCTTCCGTCTTGGCCAGTGATAGCTAGCATCCTTGGACTCGGAACAAAGCTTGGAAAATGAGAAACTTGACATGTCTCGCCCATCGAAACTGGGACCGAGAATCGGTGCGTGCGGGTTCTTGTTCGTGGAGCCGCATCTTAAATGGTTTTTTAAAAGTACCAAGGCAAGAGGATGCAATAAAACTTAGGAGCTCTATCCTAGGTGACAAAAAGCCTTAGGTAAACTCAGTGTAGTTTAGTATAGATATAGTGAATCTTGGACTAGGTAGGTAGTTTAACGTCAGAAGTCTCCTTACGGAGTACACCCTGAGGCAAGGTAACGTATGTAGGTAGCTAACTTGAAGCCTTCTCCGTCTGGACTCAGTAGCTCCGCAACCTAAGGTAAGGTATATCTTTTAAGCTACAGAGTACAGTTAACACTTATTAGTAGACTGTCAATATCGGTAGGCTGGGAACTCAATTCTTATCTCCTTCTTGCGTCATTGGTCTTGAAAGCGAAAGCCTCAAGACGTACGGAGTAGTCCGTAGGTCAAGCGAGACTGTCTGATGCAGGCAGACACATTGCCAGGAGACCTCAATCCAATGTCTCCTGTTGTGATGTATCCTTTATCTTCCTTCTGATAGCGTGAGAACCAGTTCAAGAACTACAAATTCATAGCTGTATTTCGTATCTTTGTTCCTGAACCAGTCTGAAGCTGTCTCGGAGCGGGATTTTGGAAATGCAGTGTCACCTTCTCCATGCAGGCACATGACGAAAAAGAAATCTCATGAGTTGAAGCTTCCACCTGACGCAAAATCATCTCGTCGAGTGCATCTAGGTACATACCTAACGTATTCTTAAGGTTAGGTACCTAGGTTAGTAGGGTTCTGTTTATGCCCGTACAGTCCAAAGGGATAGGTAGCAAATGTGCATTTCCGCAAATTTTTAGGTGTATATTCCCACAACGGAATTACAAACACAAACAAGATCATATAGGCTCAGTATATCTATAGAGATAATACTGTGTACTGGAGCGATCAGCAAGGGAAATATAGCAGATTATTAGCCACTGAAAAAGTACCGATTTTACATTTGCTATCCCTGAGGGCTGAACCTTACCTTAGGTACTAATCTGAGATGAATTCACGAGATTGGCGACCCGTTATAGGAATATGTGATAAATGAGGGAGTATCTTTCCGTGAACGTCGAGGTGGGTCCTCCATCCAATTTGTATTCATGCATATGGCACCTCCCATCATGATGAAAGATAGACGGCCCAGATGAGTACTTGAGTTCGATTTCGATTTTTTATCTACACATCTGCACATCTGCAAAATAAAATTAAGCTGCGGTCGTCACAGCCTTCAAATGGTGCCGCAATCATAATCGCATTGAGGTCTCATCGCCCTCGGCTGCGTTGTTGGTATCGTGTGCGAGGTCTTGCGTGAACCTCTGTATAAAAAGGTCCACATGGCAACTATAAAACAGATCGATGGACGCACGGTACATGACATATTCACAATCGTCCCATCTCGTTGTGCTAACCTTCCTAGGTTCATCAGATCCAGTCCGGCCAGGTTATAGTCGACCTTTGCTCTGTTGTGAAGGAACTGGTTGAGAACAGCGTCGATGCTGGGGCAACAAGCATAGGTAGGCATCCGATCGTTCGATCGAACAATCCGCCTGCAGTAATAACTGGATTATTCTGACTCCCCTTCCCACAGATGTTCGTTTCAAGAACCAAGGGCTTGATCTCATCGAGGTGGCTGACAATGGGTCTGGTATCGCCCCTGCCAACTATCCGTCAGTGGCTCTCAAGCACCATACGTCAAAGCTCGCTTCATACTCGGATATAGCTACGCTAGAGACATTTGGTTTCCGGGGTGAAGCATTATCCTCATTATGTGCTTTGTCAATTGTGAGCATCACGACTTGCCAGCAGGGCGAAGCTCCTAAGGGGACTAAGCTCAGCTTCGAGCCATCAGGAGCCCTCAAAGGAACTGCAGTTGTTGCAGCTTCAAAGGGCACAACCGTCTCAGTTGAGCGTCTCTTCCATAACCTGCCTGTTCGTCGGCGTGAGCTTGAGCGAAACATAAAGCGAGAGTGGAATAAGGTCATCGCCCTCCTTGGACAATACGCTTGTATTCAAACCAATCTCAAATTCTCCGTGTCTCAGCAACCAACCAAAGGGAAAAGAATCCACCTGTTTTCGACCAAGGCCAATCCGACCACAAGAGAAAACATCATCAATATCTTTGGTGCAAAGACAATGACGGTCCTTGTGCCCCTCGATTTGACTCTGGAAATGCATCCTTCCACAGGCGGTCCAGCTTTGCAAATTGACCAAAATCATGAATCAAGCTCTAGGGATGTCCGTGTCGTGGGGCATGTTTCCCGGCCTTCTCATGGTGATGGACGCCAAACTCCAGATCGCCAGATGTTTTTCGTGAACGGGAGGCCATGTGGCTTACCCCAATTCGCAAAGACATTTAACGAGGTGTACAGGGCTTACAACAGCTCACAAGCTCCTTTTATTCTGGCGGATGTTCAGCTTGATACCCACATGTACGACGTCAATGTCAGTCCAGACAAAAGGAGTATATTGCTACATGATCAAAACCAACTGCTTGATAACCTACGCACTTCCCTGGCAGCCCTTTTCGACTCGCAAGATTACTCAGTTCCGACCTCTCAGCTTTTGCCATTTAAGAACCGCATTGAGAAGCAGTCAACTACTAACACGCCCTTCAAACCATTATCGATCACTCCTCAGAAGCCCCTGGATGATTCCCAGCCTGAAGTCGAATTAGATGAAGACAGTGACGAAAGCAGCCCCATTGCCAAGGTGCCACTTGGCGCCGTAAGGAGGGTTGGCGGGTCAAAATCATTAGAGAAAAACATTAGTAGTCAAAATCTGATCAGTGGATGGGTAGAGAGGGGATCAACGTCGCGGCCAAAACACCGAGGCACCACAGCGTCAACTTTCGCGCAGAATCAAAGTCCATCCGTACGTCCTTCCACGAGGCGAGAAGAACCAAGCCTCTTTATCGGGAGTTCCTCGCTCTCTTCAGACAGTGATGAAAATGATGCTGGGAAGCCACTCCCTGTGCGCGATTTCAACAAGCAACTGAGAGTAAACAGTGCTACGAAGACTGTCTCTTCTCCCACCAAGAGGAAGTCATCAGAATTGCTTGAGACTGAGCCCCAGATTCCTGCTACGAAACCACTGAGGCGTGGACAAGGCGGGAGCCCACACACTAGCCCGATGAAAACGCCACGGGAAAAGGCAAGATCTGAGGCCGCTATGATAGTCATTGGTGATGAGATCATACAGGATGCTGCGAATACCCCTGATGGTCATGCGAATAATGCAACTGTTTCTGGGGACGGAATGGAGGTTGACGTTCCAAAGCCGTCTTTCGGAAGCCGCCTGACACAGATATACGCAGCTGGTAGCGGTGCGACAGACAGGAAGATATCCTTCCGTAAGGAGCAAGCGTGCGAGGGTGACGAGGGTGATGAAATCTCCGATTCTGAAAGCACAGATACAAACAGCGACAGTGACACATCCAACGCGAACCAGGATGGGAAAGCTGTCAGTGGGCCAGCTATTCCGGTTGCTGGGAGCGATATGCCAAGCAAACAGACAGAAACGAAAGACTTGTCTGATATTACGCCCTTCACATTTGCGGGGGAACCTGCCACAACGGATCATAAGACTCAATCTCTCAAGTCTAGTGTACGGAAGAAAGATTCTACAGCCCAGCTACTACAACACCTACGAACCGACGAAAGTCTCATAAATCTGGGATTGAAATCATGGAGGAACAGCCTCAGTCCAAGTCAAGACTGTACGACTGTCGATGATGAAGTGACAGATCTTGCAGCAGCCAATGCGGAAGAAAAATTGTCACTTACTATAGCTCGCAAGGACTTTCTAAAAATGAAAATAGCCGGACAATTCAACATGGGTTTCATCATCGCAACACGTCCTGCGAGCAACAGGTCAGAGGAAGAACTGGACGTGGCTCAGAAGGACGAGTTGTTTATCATTGACCAACACGCGACAGACGAGAAGTACAACTTTGAGAGGTTGCAGGAGATTCAGACAGTCCAGTCTCAACGACTAGTTCACCCGAAAAGGCTAGAGCTGACAGCACTGGAAGAAGAAATTGTGTTACAAAATATCCCTGCCATAGAGGCTAATGGGTTCAAGGTCCATGTCGACATGACTGGAGATGAACCCGTGGGCTCAAGGTGTGAAGTGCTGGCGCTCCCCATGAGTCGTGAGGTTACCTTCTCGATCACTGACCTTGAAGAACTGATAGCATTGCTTGGTGAAGAATCGTCTGAGTCAAAGCATATACCCCGCCCCTCCAAAGTGAGGAAGATGTTTGCATCGAGGGCATGTCGCAGCAGCGTCATGATTGGGAAGGCTTTGACGCATGGGCAAATGGAGACGCTTGTGCGGCATATGGCAGAGTTGGACAAGCCTTGGAACTGCCCCCATGGCCGTCCAACAATGAGGCATCTGTGTCAATTGGACTCGTGGGATGCGAAAGGATGGAGGGACGACAACTGGCAGGGTCCATCCGGATCTTGGCGAGCGTACTTGAATGGCGAATAGTACTGTTCAGTAGCGATCGGATGTCGGAGAAATTCATGATTTGAGACTTTTGTATTATCAAACACCAAAACTACCTAATTAAACTACATATCCGGATATCTTGCCGTGTCCCCAAACCTTATCCTTGCCAAACATTCAAACTTCGACGCATCCTGCATCCAAAAACCATGAACAAACACTCAAACACATATTCCCGTAGTCCTCATCTCCTTTCCGCGAGGGGGTTACGGCCATCGAGAAAAGAATATCGGTTCCCTGCCGCTCGGCCTTCCTCTACCATTTTACCACTAACATTACGGCGTCCGTATGCCGTGGAAGTGTTCTGATTGTAATCATTACCCGTGGAAACCTTGCGATTATCGCTGCCAATCATAATAGGGGGGGTTGCACTCTGAAGTTCTCCGTATGATCTCGCATAAAACTCACACTCTGGTTGAATAGAGCTCTGACGGTTGCGGGGAGCCAATGCTGGCTTCTCGTCAGCGATATCCCTGCTCGCGCTGACACGTCTCGCGTTTGTGCTAATGTCGGTCAACGAGTTCTTGAATGGGAAGAAGGGTGTCTTGGCGCGAGGAGGGGATTTGCGTTCTTGCTGTGCAGCCGGGGGATTGAGGCGAAGGGGGTGAGGGCGCAGCTCATCGCCATTAACACCAAGGTCGTAAGATGGGTTGTTTTCATCACCATATTCGGAATCAGAATCGTCATGCGCGTATCGTTGAGCCAAGGCCTCATATGACTTGTTCTCGCGGTTCGCAGCACTCGTCTTTGCCGCTTCCAGTTCACGGTTTCGTTGATTCGTTCGGGAGATGAGTGAGTCGGTAGGCATCCAGGTCTCGGTGAATCTAGCCGGGCGAGGTTGACTATGCCTGTTGTAGCTGCTAGATGGGCGAGATCCTGCCTGGTCGTCGAGGGGAATCTCGCTATAGGCATCGTGGTAAATTGAACGGGTGGCAGTAGTCCGTGTGGTGGCCCTTGAAGCAGCCGAATCGCGACGCTCACGACGAGGACTTCCAGGGCCTCTCTGGTATTGTGGTGGTGGGAACTTGGTACGGGAGTCTCGAGTTCCAATTGTCGTGCTCGATCCGTTGCGGGTATGAGTGAAAGGAATGGCGCGTGGTGCTTCAATGCCATCATGAATACCTTCTTGAGGCATGAGAGATTCCCGGCGAGCGCTCCCGGGCGTCGACAGGCGGGCATCACTATCCATGGTGCTAGCGGTCATCACCGACGACTTGTTCCTCTTGTGCATTGGTCGAGCAGTCAAGTGACTCTCGAGAGGGTTCATGTCTGGAGGCATCAAGCTGATCTTGCGGAACATGAAGCCCAGCCAGCCAGCAATCGCCAAGCTGATGAGATGGAGACCACCGGCTGCAACAAAGGTATAGAAAAGAACAGGCTTGAAGGTATTCATGAGCGATTGGTCCGAGAGGCGAGTAACCCAGTCTTCACTCTTGGTGCGCACTGATAGGGCACCAAAAGCGTAGAGAGGAGCGACACCAAGGTCGGTGACGCCGCAGAAGAGCTGGTAGGATGCAGAAGATGCAGGCGATCGCCCTGCGGCGTCACGAGAGAGATGGTAAATTCCATAGATGCAGTGTAATATCACAACGCCAGGCTTCACCACAAGTCAGTTACAGCTTGTAAATATGGTGAGAGGGTTGGGTCCTTACGGTAATTCTCATAACCCAGCCCTCCAGACTGGGGACCTTGTCAATGAGTACCATCAGCGCAAGCAGGCCAAGAGCTGATACCAGCTGCAGTACGCGCAGCCCGGATTGAACATGACGGAGCCATTTGATGAAGCTCTTACTGCGCGGGCTCATTGAAGCATACTCGTTGGTCCTATAAGTAAGAACCTGGTGCATACTGAGAAATGGCTAGTTAGCATAGAGATCCGACGCTGAGACAATGCTATAGTACTCACTCAGGATGCGTGTTGAAAGACACAAGCGGTCCATCGGGCTTCTTTCGCGGCTTGGGAGGTTCCCAGCTTGCTCTTGTGACAGCCTTGGGATCAAACTTGGGCTCCGGGAAGCGCGAGTCGCTGTGGACGGCGCTGTAAAGAAAAGGCGCTTGCGACGGAGCCATATCTGTAGTCGCAGCGCGATGCGCTTGAAGTTGCGCGATCGTAAATTGTTGGTTGTATTGTGCGCCTCGTGCTGGAATGAAGACGATAAGATATGGGCCCCCGGGAATGAACGTTTATTAAATCACGCACGACAGGCGAGTCCTTATAATGAGATTGTTATCCGAGAAACTGGGGAGCCGAGGGAGGGTCTTGTTGAGAACAATAGTATCTCTGACGAAAGTTGTGTACATGGGGCGGGCCGTGTTGGCACAGCAACGTGACGTCTGCGCTGCCGCATTCTGCAAGCCGACGCCGCATCGGAGGTCGGACCCATCCTAATAAACTGAGATGCTGATGAATACCCAAAGAGTCACTTGTCGGTCGTTCTCTGACTATCAAAGTACGATATCAAAATATCATCACCAGCCGTGAATGATAATGTTATCGATAGCACGGCGCCTCCGTCGCCCCGATACAGTGCCTCGGGTTTCTAATGTAATTCCTGGTCAACGTTTCTCTTCTGCGCTGCAGCAAAGTTCTCGATCTCCGGATGCGCCATTTCGCATGGCAGTAGTAGGATCCGGACCGGCCGGGTTCTACACTGCCTACCGGGTAATGGGGAAAGTGTCAGGAGTGAAAGTTGATATGTATGAGAGTCTTCCCGTACCGTTCGGTTTGGTTCGTCATGGCGTTGCTCCAGATCACCCAGAGGTCAAGGTGGGTTACCCTATAGAATAACTAGTAGACTAGGAGACTCACTTACACAACAATAGAATTGCCAAGATAAGTTTGATGAAATTGCATCACAGCCCAATTTCACATTCATTGGTAATGTTTCTATCGGCCATCCTGGCAGCTCTTCGAAGCATTGCACAGTAGAACTGCATGACCTCATGCAGCACTATGATGCTGTTCTCTTCGCATACGGGGCATCCCAGGACAAAAAGCTCGGAATCCCAGGCGAATCGACCCTCAGCGGTATTCACTCAGCGCGTGAAGTTGTAGGATGGTACAACGGTCTTCCTGGATGCTCGGGCTTAAAACTGGATCTCTCACAAGCCGAGGAAGCCGTGGTTATCGGTCAAGGAAACGTTGCTCTCGATATTGCACGAATGCTATTGGAAGACATCGACGTCCTCAGAAAAACAGACATTACAGAGAAGGCGCTCGAGACGCTGTCGAGAAGCAGAGTCAAGAGAGTCCATGTAGTGGGAAGAAGAGGGCCGATGCAGGTAGGTCTTGCTATTGATGGCTTAATCATCACAGCTCTAACATATGGCAGGCTTCATTCACCATCAAAGAGGTGCGGGAACTCCTGAAATTAAGAGACGTAGGGTTTTTACCCTTCAATCGATCGCTCGTTCCCGAGGATTTGAAGTCCTTGCCACGTGCCTCAAAACGACTCATGGAAGTCCTGTTCAAGGGCTCATCAACCCCTCACGAAACAGCTTCCAAATCATGGTCTTTGGATAGCTGTCTCTCACCAAAGCATTTTCTCGGAAACCAAAATGCGCCCTCCAAGGTGGCAAGTACTGAATTCGATCTTACAGAACTCGCAGCACCATTTGATCCCAAGTCATCTGTCAAAGCCACTGGCAAGACCGCTATACTGCCATCCGATGTTGTCTTCCGCTCGGTTGGATACAAATCCGTAGCTCTGCCCGGGTTTGCTGAAATCGGTATTCAATTTGACGATCGTCGCGGCATCGTCGATAACGACGGCCTTGGTAGAGTGACGAGGATGGTTTCTGATACGCATGCTAGAGGTGCTCACAATGAGAGGGTCCCCGGAGTATACTGCGCCGGTTGGGTCAAGAATGGCCCGACTGGAGTGATCGCATCAACTATGCAGGACGCCTTCACGACAGGTGATGCGATTGTTCATGACTGGCTATCAGGCGGTCGCTTTCTCAACGCTTCAAACCATGACAATGTAACAGGGTGGGAGGGCCTGAGACACAATGCTGGGCCATCAACATGTCGAGCCGTTGCTTGGGACGACTGGAGACAGATTGACCGCACAGAACGAGAGCGTGGGCAAAAGAATGGAAAAGAGAGAGAAAAGTTCACAAGCACGGATGAAATGTTGGCTATCCTCGAATGATACCAGGACGGGCACTTTAACTGTTTGTGTATTACATCACCCTGTACATCTAGATGCTTAGGAGCTCTTGACCTTCTCAGTCAGCTCAGGTACCTTTTCGAATAAGTCACCAACCAGACCGACATCGGCAACCTGGAAGATGGGGGCATCGGGATCCTTGTTGATCGCAGCGATGACCTTGCTATCCTTCATACCTGCAAGATGCTGAATCGCACCCGAGATGCCCACGGCCATGTACAACTGAGGAGCAACAACCTTGCCTGTTTGACCCACCTGCAGACTGTTATCGGCATAGCCACTGTCAACAGCAGCACGAGAGGCACCGACTGCAGCACCGAGGGCATCAGCGAGGGGAAGCATGACCTTGTTGAACTCCTCCTTGGACTTAAGACCACGGCCTCCGGACACGACGCGGCTCGCAGTCGAAAGATCAGGACGGTCTGACTTGGCCAAATCTTCTGACACCCACTCAGTAGGTGACTCGGGCTTGGAGTCAACTCCATCCTCAACGGTGGCGGAACCTCCCTCTAGGGGACCAGCAGCGAAGGCAGTTCCTCGAATGGTGATGACCTTGACAGAGTCTGAAGACTCAACGGTGGCGATCGCGTTACCGGCGTAGATGGGACGGACAAATGTGTTCTCGTTCTCAATTGCAGTGATATCTGAGATCTGCTGCGAATCGAGCAGAGCGGCTACTCGAGGCATGACACTCTTGCCGAATGCAGTGTGGCCTGCGATGACGTGTGTGTAGCCGCCTTTCTTGATATTCTCAACCAAGAGGGGAGCATAGTTCTCGGGGAGGCCCTTGGTGGAGAGTCAGTGTTGCGCGCGTGTAGTCAGATTCTTGGACCTTTCTACCAACCTTCTCATATGCACTATTATCGACAGCAATAATCTTTTCCACGCCCTCAGCTTTGGCAATCTCCTCAGCCACGGGCTTGATGTTGTTGCCAGCAATAAATCCGTGTACTGGTCCACCCAACTTCTTCGCAGCTGTAAAGGCGCTCAACGAGCTGTGGTTGAGTACACCATCCTTCTGTTCGAGGATTGCCAATGTGGATTGCAGGCGCTGCCGTTGTGCGCCGAGGCTGTAGGCGTGCGCACGCGCGATGAGGCTAGTGGCCCTTTGTGCCAGCACTCGTTTCGCGGTCGGAAGCATCATGAGTATGTGGTTGAGTTGTGGTGATGGCAATTCAACTGCCCTCTCCAGGTCCAAGAGTGAGTGATGTAGGTAAGGTAAGGTAAGGTAGGCTAAGTCGGCGACGGTTGTTAACGGCCCGAGGTCGAGGCCGCTTGCTCTACCACCGTCATCGGCCAGACCGGGAACCGACGGCATGTGGACTAAAATGCCGAATCGGCTCAAGTGATATCCATTCACATGACTGAGTATCATAAAACAGCTACATTGATTTGCCTTGAAACCGCAAAAGATATTTGAGGCTCTATATTATGCTTCATTCTGTTGATCTAAAACTGGCTTGTCATAATGTGGACGGTACCATACTGATAACCGCTATAGGCTGAATCTCAGTCTGCGTCTGAATGTTCAAGAACTGCGTTGACGAACTCACGACTAAACCAATTGACGAAAATGAACTCATCGGGAAACCTGAAACGGCTGCATATAGAAAATAACTGTAGCCTCTATGAACAGAAAGCATCTGAACTATCAATCGTTGTCATCTGGATCTCGTTAATGGACTAAGCTACTGAGAAGCGGGTCAGTGCACAATGCTTAGCTAATACAGATACCACGTGATGCAGATTGTTCCCCCTGGAACTGCGCGTCCACCTAGATGTCAAGAAGCTGAGGCCAGTCAATTCGCGCCAAAATTTCTCCAAGACGCGACCCATTTCATCGCCAGACTCCATCAACATCACGACGCTAGCGACATCGAATTCCCGACGACGTACGAACAGTCATCCCTCTGTTTTGTGGTAATCCTTTTCGCCAAATATCGCACAATAAATCTGATTGTGCGCGCTCGATTCATTCGCCGCCCTGAACTACCGCTCGCGGTCTGATCGCGATAATCATAAAGATGGACGACTCTGCTACCTATGGCTCGCCTGGCAACGATGCGTCGCCCAACAGCAACCCTATCCTCGCCCAACCTCCCCTGCAGCCAGAGTCAGGTGCAGGCGACAGCGAAGGTACGTGCGCATTGCGATTGCTGTTCCCTCGATTAAACATGTCACTCACGGGAAATAGACATCCAGATGTCCGAGGGGCTGGTTACTGAGTCAAACATCAAACAGGATAGTACAACTCCTGCGCCAGGTAACCAGACTATCTGAAATATGATGGAATATTTACTGAGACATCCAGCTCGAGGTGACGAGGAGATGAACGATGCGCCCGCTGATGATACCAAGATGAAGCAGGATAGAGTGGCCGCTACAGAAGGTCAAGAATCCAAGTCAAAGGAGGTTGTTGAGTCGGCTGCTCGCGATCATCTCATCGCGCAGACTCACGCGATTGTCCTTCCCAGCTACAGTACCTGGTTCGACATGAATGCTATTCACGAAATTGAGCGTAAAGCTATGGCCGAGTTCTTCAACAACCGTAACCGGAGCAAAACACCAGCTGTATACAAGGATTATCGCGATTTTATGATCAACACATATCGCCTCAACCCTGTTGAATATCTGACAGTCACAGCATGCCGCAGGAACTTGGCTGGTGACGTTTGCGCCATTATGCGCGTCCACGCCTTCTTGGAGCAATGGGGCTTGATCAACTATCAGGTAAGGAGCTTTGTTACGGCATTTCTAGGTTTTCTGACAATCAATAGGTTGACGCCGAGCAACGCCCATCGCACGTTGGACCACCCTTCACTGGCCATTTCAAGATCATATGCGATACTCCCCGAGGCCTGCAGGCTTGGCAACCTTCTGCCGACCCTGTGATTCTGGAAGGCAAGAAGAGCCAAGATACCGACCAAAAGGCTGCTGCCGCCGCTCCCGCTAAAGGGGAACAGAACCTTGAAATTGGACGAAACATTTACGAAGCCAATGCCAAGAACACCCTCATTAACAAGACTGAGGGCAAGACCAACGGTGAGACAGCAGCCACCAATGGCGCAGCTGGTGCCGATGATGCCACCAAGGCCCCCATCGCCAAGGTCCATTGCCACCAGTGCGGCAACGATTGTACTCGGATTTACTATCACAGCAACCATACAGATGCTAACCCCAAGGCTAAATATGACCTTTGTCCTAACTGCTTCACCGAGGGTCGCCTGCCTGCCAACCATAACAGCAACATGTATGTCAAGATGGAGAACCCCACCTACACATCGACCTTAGACCGCGATGCTCCCTGGACGGATGCCGAGATTCTGCGACTTCTCGAAGGCCTCGAGCGATTCGACGACGATTGGGGTGAGATTGCAGAGCATGTGGGTACCCGCACACGGGAAGAGTGTGTTCTCCAATTCCTTCAGCTGGATATTGAGGAGAAGTATTTGGACTCTGAGGCTCCCATCAGTGCCCCGACTGGCCTGTCTCTGCTTGGCCCCCAACAAGGACAGCTTCCCTTCAGCCAAGTTGATAACCCGGTCATGTCTGTCGTCGGTTTCCTTGCTAGCTTGGCAGACCCAGCCAGTACCGCAGCGGCCGCAAGCAAATCTGCCGAAGAGCTCAAGCGCAAGCTCCGCAAGCAACTCGACGGTGATAAAGCCGATGATAATTCCCAGGCCAACGGTGACAGCAAAGCCAAGAGCGACTCTATGGATATCGACCTCAGACAGGAGACTACGACGACTACAACCACAACTACGACCACTACCACCAAGACCAACGCGCTCGCATCCATTCCTCTGGCTTCGATAGGTGCTAGGGCTGCCGGATTTGCCTCTCATGAAGAACGCGAGATGACACGCCTGGTTTCCGCTGCTTCAAATGTGACACTACAAAAGCTTGAATTGAAACTCAAGTATTTCGACGAGATGGAGGCCGTCCTGCGTGCGGAGCGACGAGAGCTTGAACGGGCAAGACAGCAACTGTTCCTGGATCGATTGACCTTCCGACGTAGGGTTCGAGAAGTGCAGGAGGGCTTGAAGGCTGCCGCGGCTGTTGGAGGCGAACAAGGCGTACGACTTGCACAAGAAGCTATGACTGAAGGAGACCGGTTGAGCTTCCAGGCTGTCCCAGGCGCGCAGGCTGTCCCACCTCCCAGCAGTGATGGCCAAATCAAGAGCTATGAGGCTTGATGGTTGGCATTGAGACTGGGTAGCGTGAGCTCTAATTAGGGGAAAGCACTGTTTGGACACTTGGGATCAAAGTCACGGCGTCTGGTTGGTACACGGAATTGATGCCGGGATCATCGCCGATCTCAAGCTGTGCCACTTTCTGTCACTCTCTGTCACTTAATATGAGCTGCCTCCAGGCGATGCTGGTTCAATTGTGACGGATAAGATTGAAGTACAGCCTTCTTGGGGGTCTCTATAGTCACTGACTAGGGACAACTTGGGAGATTCTTTAAAAAGAAACTTGGCCATTGGTGGACACAGGGCCTGCAAGTTAATCTAGTCCTCTGTGGATGGTGTACTAGTACATGGCATAGATGCTTTGGTGGTTTTGTCGCAGCAGAAATTATTTAGTCAATGAACGGTTGGGTTGTAAATTGGCGAATTGGAATGTTTTATGTTAGCTGTTATGCTCTCTCCCTATATCTATTTCTCTCTCTCCCTCACATTGTGTAATCCATGGCTGTCAGATTGTACTATGCATATTGAGTTTTGCTGTTTACAATAATTGATTGAGGTGGTTCATATTGTGAATGCCAGACCACATCAGTGGTCGGGCAAACGGGAAAGAGACAGTATAAATATACAGTGTAATACCTAGACCAAGTTCCCAAAACTCCCTCCGTATGGCGATTTAATGGTTTGGAAGATATCAATGGACCAGGGAATAAGTGATGTCAAATGGAGATGAGCTCTCTCCACTTCCCCACGAATAAGGAAAACTGGGGTACCCTAGATTCTGGCTTTGAGGGGGTGTTTTCTTGGATATTGCACAGTGCTGTAGTGCAAATTGGTGTTACTTGCGAAGAATGACTGGAGGCATGTGAGCACTTTAAACAGAGCATAATAAGCTGACTACCTAGGTATGATAAGAAAATGCTTCGAATTTGTCCATTGAAACAGACGATGCCTGCTTTAGTAGGTGCTAACCTACCTGCTAGGTACATACTGTGAAAGCCTGGTTGCAGTACGTACTAACCTATTTCCCCAGAAGACGGGAGGCTCAAGCGATTGCCTCGGAGATGGTGGATCTAGAGAAAGATGTAAGATATGATTGGCTGGAAAGGGTATCCCCTGCCCCAGTTCACATCAGTCCCGTGGGCCCTTGAAAGTTCGTACCTCGGCCCAAGGCTTTTGAGGGGCCCGGGTGACGTCTCGGTCACAAGCAAACGTCGTATTTACTACTACCTTCTGTACGGAGTACCTACCTAAACTACTCCATAACAAGTCTCGCGCTGGGCTGATATTATTACGTCTGTCCATCCCATCCAGTCTAATCTGGTGACCCTTGTCCTCTACTCTACGATCGACTCCATTCTCGAAGCTTGCCGTCCTCTGAGCCGAGGCCAGAGCAATAAGCGTCGTGTGCGAAACCGGCACTATTGCTGTTCTAATATAGAGCCCTGACAAATATTTGTCGGATACATACATACATATCTACCCCAACTCTTTTCGGCTCTCGTCTCGACGTTTCTCTCTCTTCTCCTCTGATCGCTTGTCTTTCGCGTTGGCCATGTTGTTGACTTCAGCCCGCTCGCCCGCCCTTAGGAACAGCTTCCGTAACTTCACCAAGACACGCGCTGTAAGTCAACCCCTTTGCTCGTTATGAGGCAGACATCGTCACATGTGGTCGACAAAGAGGAAGGGCATGGTAATCCATCGGCTATCCTCTTCTTTCGTCTAATTCTCGCTCAAGGATGGATGCCGAGTCATTGGCGGGCGACAAGACCTAGGAACTAGGGTCCTAGGATTGCTTGCTTGTGATGAAATGCTCCACTCGCCCGGATTCATGATAGACGGATGGACAGGCATCATAGTTGCTCCTCCACTCAAATCGATCGTCTTTGCCCTTTTCACCATGAAGCTCGCCTGCTCTGACCGATAGACGTATCTGACAATCTGAGAAAACAGGCACAAACTCTCATCATGGCACCCACAAAGCGAGCGAACAGCTCCGCCGCCGCCTCCTCAGGTATGCGCTATCCTCCGCAAGCCTGAACTATTCGGACCCAACGTGCTGATGCAAATTACGAGTAGGCTATGTTGAGAACCACTCCAAGGGACCTATGCTGCGATGGCAAGACTCCCTTCCTAAACTGCCCGTCCCAACACTCGAAGACACTGCGAAGCGTTATCTCAAGTCGCTCCACCCCCTACTATCTGCCAGCGAGTACGAGGCAAGCAAGAAGGCCGTCGAGGAATTTGTCCGCCCTGGTGGTGTAGGCTCCAAGCTTCAGGAGAAGTTGGTGGCCAAGCGCGAGGACCCCAACACCAAGAACTGGATTTACGAGTGGTGGAATGATGCCGCCTATCTCTCATACCGCGACCCCGTCGTCCCCTACGTCAGCTACTTCTACTCTCACCGGGACGACCGACGACGAAGAGACCCCGCGAAGCGAGCTGCTGCCATCACAACCTCTGCCCTCGAGTTCAAGAAGCAGGTTGACGCCGGCACCCTTGAGCCAGAGTACATGAAGAAGTTGCCTATCTGCATGGACAGCTACCAGTGGATGTTTAACGCTTCCCGTGTTGCGGCTAAGCCAGCCGACTACCCTGTCAAGTTCTCGGCTGAGGAAAACAAGCACATTATTGCTATTCGCAAGAACCAATTCTTCAAGATCCAACACGAAGTTAATGGAAAGCAGCTCAATACTTCAGAGCTTGAGCAGCAATTTAAGCGTGTCTATGAGCTTGCCCAACGCGTTCCTGCTGTTGGCGCTCTCACTTCTGAGAACAGAGATGTCTGGACTGACGCTCGTGACATTTTGCTCAAGGCCAGCCCCAAGAACAAAGACGCTCTCGAGGCTATTGAGTCGTCCTCTTTCGTGGTTTGCCTCGACGATGCGGCTCCAGTCACACTCGAGGAGCGTGCTCACCAATACTGGCACGGCGATGGTGCTAACCGCTGGTACGACAAGCCTCTGCAGTTCATTGTCAACGACAACGGCACTTCTGGCTTCATGGGCGAGCACTCCATGATGGACGGTACTCCCACTCATCGCCTCAACGATTACGTCAACGACCTCATCTTTGGAAACAAGCTCGATTTCTCTGATCCCAGCATCCGATCCAACTTGCCTGAACCGCAAGTCGTCAAGTTCGATATCACAAAAGAAGTACAGAGCGAGATTGATCGCGCAACCAAGGACTTCAACGATGTCATCAGCAAGCATCAGCTTGCCGTTCAAGCCTATCAGGGTTACGGAAAGGGTCTAATCAAGAAGTTCAAGTGCTCTCCTGATGCTTACGTTCAGATGGTTATTCAGCTCGCCTACTACAAGATGTATGGCAAGAGTCGACCTACTTATGAGTCCGCTGCTGTCCGACGCTTCCAACTTGGACGTACTGAGACATGCCGAACCGTCTCTGACGACTCTGTTGCCTGGGTCAAGTCCATGTCTGATTCCTCCGTTGATGACAAGACACGCGTGGATCTCTTCCGCAAAGCTGTCAATGCCCACGTTGAATACATCACCGCCGCCTCCGACGGTAAGGGAGTTGATCGACATCTATTCGGTCTTAAGAAGCTTCTCGAGCCCGGCCAAGAGGTCCCCGCCATCTATCAGGATCCCGCATACAGCTACTCCAGCTCATGGCACCTGTCTACCTCTCAGCTTAGCTCAGAGTTCTTCAACGGTTATGGTTGGAGCCAGGTAATTGATGCTGGTTTTGGTATCGCATACATGATCAACGAGAACAGGTATATATTGCCCCCAGATTCCCAATGAAGAAAGAAATCTACTAACATGACGATAGTCTCAACTTCAATGTCGTTTCCAAGGGTCTGGGCAGTGACCGCATGAGCTACTACCTCAACGAGGCAGCTAACGATATGCGCGAGCTGCTCACACCAACTCTTGAGCCCCCCAAGGCTAAACTGTAAATATACACACAACAACATATTTCTCAGACGGAAGGAGTCTCTTGCTGTTGGATGGGTTGGCATACTGTCGCGGTTCAGATCAATGGCGTTTTTGCTTATTGGACAATGTACTCTAGACTTGACCGTCTTTTTGTGCGATGTCATATAGATGGCACTAGATATCAGAGCGACATGTTTTTAGCAAAGGTAATATAGATTACACAACCAAACCAATGATGGATAAAAGTTCCAAAATTCTAAAAAGAGGCGGCGCCCTTCACTCCCAGTGTTAGTTGCCATTACACGTCTAGGTACATGTGATGCGGACCCAAATAACTACACCACAGAAAATTGTTCGGAATATCCTATCTGTCCTACTCCTACATATGCGCATCCAAGGTATATACCATCTGCTTTAGCCGGCATGGGCAACAATTTCGTTGACCAAGTCTCCCTTGGACTCGTCGTAGTAAGAGCAGATTTGCGAAGGCAGGGGCACCTCCTTGTAGTCATCGTCTGCGCCAGAAATAACGTTGAGGTTGACACCCGCTGATTTGCTGGTGAAAACCTTGGTTCCTATGCTCTCCTTGCTGAAGTAGATCTGGGCACTGTCGACCTGATCCAACATGACGGTTGGGATAGTGCCCATGACCTGAAGAGCAAAGTTGTTGGCTTTGACGACATCAACTGTCGAAACAAGGGTATCAACGATCAAGGACAGACGGGTAGAATTCTCGACTGTGACCTGGTTGGCCTTGCCCCTGACAATGATGGTGGTGTTATTACAACGGCTGATGAGAACCGAGTGTGTTAGTGAGGCCTCAATCTCGATTGGCTCGGCCTCCTTCTCGTAGTTTTCCTGGTAAAAGTTAGCAACATGCTACAATACTTTTCGCAAATAGAACCTACAATAGTCCACTTATTGCCCTCTAGCTCCTTCTTGGCTGGCTTCTTGATACGCATACTCTCAGGCTTAGGCTTCTTGCCAGGGGCTGGGCTCTTACCCCTCTGGCCACTTGAAACCGTTGAGCCACTGCGAAGAGAGGGGTTCTTATGCGTCATTTCGGACTTGTCCACTTTACGCAGACCCTTAGTGACGGCATCGCCCTTGTTGAGCTCTGAGAAGACAGCTCCGAGTCCACCAGATGATGCAGGCGCAGGAGCATCATCTGTCTTGATATCAAGAACAGGTGGAGGGCCAGGAGGAGGGGGAGGGGGAGGGGGAGGAGGTGGTGGAGGAGCACCACCAGCAGCAGGTGCCGGGGCAGCGGGAGCGGAAGCAGGCGCGGAACCAGCAGGCAATGACTTGAGAACTTCCTGAGCAGGCTGGCCATTCGGGTTCCATGGAATGCCCGTTGGGAAGTATTGCTTGACATAATCGGCAAGATCGCGGAACATCTGATAGAAACTCTGAACCCATTCGATCTGCTTGGGGTCCCTGATAATCTGGTTAAAGGTGAACCACTCAAGACAAGAGGCTGACTTACTTATCTTTCTGCTCCTTCAGAACTCTGTTTCCAAAGAACTGAGCCGAGCCAAGGCACTCGTCCACGTGCTTATAGGGGCGAGTGTCAATGGTAACCCATGCGAGAACCATGATACCGTCAGAGACAGTGCTGAGTTGCGTGTACATAGGGCTAGGACGGTTGACGTCCTTGAGCTCGGTAACAGCCATCAGTGCCTCGTTGATGGGTTTGATGAGGCTCTCATATACTGGCAGATCAGGTCCAGAGAGGTTTGGCTTCTTCGCCTTTGTGGAAATCAGGAGAAACTTGCGCTGCTCCTGGAAACCAGATTTGACGAGCGCAGCCTAGTATTATACCATGATTAGTCCCTGCCCCGTAGAAGGTTTTGCGTATTCATAGTCCTTCAGATGGTTGCGCGTACCTGCTCAGCGACCAATCCACCTAGCTGGTGGCTCAACTTCACATATTTATCGACAGAAGTGTTTAGGAAAGCATCAAATTCCTCGATAGATTCTGGCAGCGGCTCGGCGACAGGTTCAGGCTTCGCGGCAGCGGGAGTGGTGACCTTGGAATCGAAAGCGGCTGGAGGAGGAGGAGCGGCTAGGGAGGGGTTTGGAGGTGAAGGTATCGCCTGGCTGAGAACGGTGGCATCGGCAGGACGCTCGGTCGAAGAAGCGATATCCTCGAGGCGCGAAGTTGCAGCTTCAAGCCTACATGACTTTTATCAGCATCTGCACATCCTAGCCTGACAACGCAACGAGCGTAAAGAGCTTACCTCTTGATAAGCGTAGTTAAGTTGTGCATCTGACTATTAGCAGCCATGTTGGATAATCGTCCGTTGGATTGTTATTGGCCGAGACGCCGGACTGGAAGCGTTCTGCTGAAAGAACAGTTGATCGGGTCGCAGCGACGTGCTCAGGCAGCAGGATAGCTGCTTTGGAGGATTGCGCAAGCGGAAAGGCGAGTAGCTTTCAAGTTATAGGTCGTATGTGCCTGGCTAATGCCATACAGAAATACAAGAAAAAGAGCAGCAAGCTTAGTGATTGACTGACTCAATGCTGCTTCTTTCCGCTAGGTATGCAACTAAGAGAGAGTTTATCAACAGACAATTGAATAGGTAGGTAGGCTGGTAGATATTGAGGATGAGACGAGGTGAGGTGATTGGAGCTCGGTCCAGGAGGTGGTTCAAGATCCAAATTAGGGACGGATGACTACTAACTATTCCGGGGACAGGGGAAGCAGAGCGTAATGTACGACAAGTATACTTTACTCTAGGCGCCTCAGCGAGCCGTGGAGACTAGTACTGTCTAAGTACCTACCTTATGTTTCAGAACTCGGCCAAGCTCTAGAGACGTGGCTACCTAACCTAGAGGGGCATGACAAGACTTGAACACCTCCCAAGTTGGGTAAGGATCGCAACAGCTTGCCTTTGTCCATACAAGACGTAGGGAGGCATTCCATCAACGCCGGAACCGGGCAATCCAGCGCCGACTGATATACCTTAGTAAGGCAGACGCAAACCCAGACATCTAGACAGGTACTACTCCATAGACCATCCATGCAAATGGGTTACTTAACTAAGGTAGACCAGTTTCTGACTGACTCCGGCCTAAATACTCATACGAATGTGCTTTGTTCTTATTAGTCTAAATCCCTATAACCCATCGTAAATTTATAATATAGTTTATGATATAGTATATCCAATGTTTCATTTCTTTCATAGACGTTTGCGAAATTCGCGGAGACGGTCCTCAACATTATGTCCATTCCAAGCCTCGCGGCCTTCAGCATCTCTACCAATCGTTGGAACACCGACCTGCTCAATGGCGAAGCTTGCGGCAACAGTGGCACAAGCTACAGCGTCCTCAAGACTCTCGCCTCGGGCCAGAGCCACACCGAGACCGCCTAAGAAGGTATTCCCACCTCCCGTAGGATCAACCACTTTGGATGGGTCAGTATGATAGGCGGGAACCCATTTCTCGACACCAGGGTCGACCTCGATCTCTTCGCGAGCCACAATCCCATCAGCATCTTGGAGAAGACCGGCAAACAAAGCCTCCATATCCGTGTCCGGCTGAAGGCCACCTCTAACATAATCTTTCTTTCGTCGCTTGGTCGTCTTGGGGTCTCGGCCTCGCTTTCTTCCTCCATTTTTGGCAATGTAGCATCCCTTCTCGCCAGCACGGATAACAACAGAGAATGACTGCAGAGGCATGCTTGCAAGAAGCTGCTCGCAGGCTCTTTCTACAGCAATGGTAGAGATCTCGCCTGTTTCTGGATCAAGTCCACTGTCACCCATGAACCCAGCTAATTCTGCATGGTTCGGGCTGCAGATATCGACAAGAGGTAAGCAGTTGGTGCAATTGAGCAACTCATCAGGGGTACACAGATCAGGCACAGGCTCCCAGATGAAGATGGGCTTGGTATATGTTTCAGGGGGCACGACCTTCTTTCGAAGTGAGGTGATCTCGGAGACAAGATCCCTACATCGATTTGGGGAGCATATCAGGTGGAACGACCGTGATTTCAGCAGCGTTGGTGTCAGATCCTGAGCAGTCAAGCGCTTCTTGGGAGTCAGGTATTTGAAAGCTCGCTTCTCGGCAGTGCCTTCATAACCGTTCCAGCCTCGCGTGGTCAAGCGAAGCCTGTCATGACGGAAGAGAGCCGAGGTAGACCAGCTATCGATGAGCGTAGAGAGAGAGGGCGGGAAATCTGAGCCCTGATCGACAATCCAGCCAACTGACGCAGATTTGGGTGGGGGTGAGAACAGGCGAGCTCCAAGGGCTGAGTAGGTGCCAGCGCCACCAAGGATGTCTTTGACAGGCGGGGTCGGCGGAATGAAGTCGATATCGTCTTTCCAGTCAAGTTAGTTAGTGTCTGATCTGAGTAACGCAACGACAGTTTTGTAGACAAGGGCGCTGGTCAAGGTAGGTTAATGAATCCTCTCACCAATTATAAACATGCCCATCGTAACAAAATCGATTGGGACAGTTTCTTCGCCTGATGAGTCGCTGACCTTGCCCTCAATTATGGCCAATGGGGGATGTTTGGGGGAATTCTCTGCTTCTGGCCCTGGCCCTGTCTCTGGTTCAGCTGCTGGCTCAGTTCCTGATGCGCCTACATCACCGTTTTTGTGTTCATCTGCATCTTCAGATTTTGTTTGGTCTATGTCTTTCTCTTCCTCTACAACAACAGCTTCCTTGCTATCAATAGGCACCCCAATCTCTGGAGTTTCGGCTACATCTGCCATGATGCTTGTGAGATAGCAAGGTAATGACCAGTTGTGTGGAAGGGTGCGAGACAGGCCTTGAACCGGCAGAAACTCCCTGTAAGGACACTGGCTATTCGATAATAAACAAAGGCCTTTTCTACCGCGGAACTGTACAGTGTCGGCTCATAGACCGGTCAGGAATAGAAAGATTCAACAGTTGGTGGAGTTTGCGGTCAGGGTGTTGAGTATGAAAGCGAATCGGATCGTGAAAAAACAGGGGTCCAGACGCTTAGTTTTGCTATACTAGGGTCGGTTTTTTTTGCTGCGAACTACTGTGACTCTAGTATAAGCGTTGATTCAGTTATAGAATCGTTGTATAAGTAGGCTAGAGTTGCCGAGAAAGAAAGAGATGGACCAACTTTCAGAGGAACGGATGAGTGAGCAATTCTAGGTAGGTGACTCTGGTTTATTTAGGCGGTGTCCGTGGTGGGTTGGGCACATCGGAACTGCTGCCCAGGTTGGTACACGTAAGGAAGGTTGCGTTATTAGGTACAGAAGGTGTCCTCTTTAGGTCAGTTACTTACCTTAGGTACTATAGGTAAGGTACCTACCTAGGTACCTAGGCAAGGCAGCAAACAGAATATATCGTGTTATTGATCAAGAATGCACCTCATGAATTCAATCAAAAAACTCTTTGTGCACCCCATTTTGGGCAGTTCATACGTGGCTTAACGTTTACGGCAAAGGTTGAGTTTCTCTTGTCCCGGCCAATTCCTCCTCCTCTGGGTTCAGCTCAACCATCAGTAAGATTATTTTCTTTGGCAGGCTTATTGTCCACAAATTGGTTATAACGTATCAAAGTCTCGGTTAAGGAACGTAGGTATTGAGAGAGGCCATCACAGGCCTTGTGGAGTTCTATTCACATGGCTTCAATCATTAACTACATAACTCGACCAACCTCGTGTCATCCATGTCGTTACCAATAGATGCACCAAAACAAATCCCACCAACGCCAGTCGATTGCCTCGTATTGCTGACATGTTACACGATTTAGATCTTGTACACAAGATCCCCTTCCGTGAACCTGAAATGAATGTTAGTAAGTCAACGCGTGGATGGTTGCAAGAAAGGGACTCACATAATCTGGTTTGCCTCTCCCATTTTCTGGAGCGCCTTTGTGGCCTCTCCTTTATCAAATGCATCGCGACGGTTCCCAATCTTTTTGTTCACTGCCTCCACGACTGCGTCCAGCTCGGCCGCGTCATCTTCAAACAGGTCTGTGTTGAGAAGCTGACCAAGCGCTGTTCGGAAGGTTGTCAGGCGCTCAGAGCTGATGGGAGTGTCGTCAATTGCCAGTGCTGCAGCACCGCTCGCAAGGTCCTCGTCGCCATCCTGCGACTCTAGCTGATTCGAGGATGGTAGCTGAGAGGCTGGAATTGAGGATGCAAATGAAGCCTGCGATTGTGACTGGTCTTGTGTTCGCCGGCTAGATCTTCGCAATGTGCTTTGCGAGTCATCCTCAGGAGCATCAGGTTCTCTGCTGGACCTGGCAGTGTCACTGGTTTCTCTCGCTTGGAGGCGACTGCTGTTGCGTGTAGCCCTCGAAGTCGACCTGTTTGATTGCGTGGCATTGGCAATGTCGCCATCTTCATCTTCATCATCACTGGAACTTTCGTCGCTGGACGATGCAAAATCAACCGTTTGGGTCTTTCTCCGCTTCTTCCGCGATTCTTCAACAACTTCCTTGAAAAGAGCGAAGCGTAAGATACCCTCTGCAGCAGCCGCATCGCGCTCCTCCACCCTGTTTGACAAGCGGGATTTGGCATGTGCTGTGGCAAGACGAATGATGGTCTCCAGAGTACGGACGGTCAAAGGACTGGTCCTTCGTTGGTTGCCCTCCATCTCGTCGTTCCGTAGACCGACATAGATATCAGCGATGCGATCAGAAGCCTCTTGTGTCAGAATGGGCCTGATTCTCGTCTTGGCATATTGGATGTACTTCTTCATGAATGGGATGCTAAGGATTTCGGGCTTCTTGTTTGAACCACGACCAGATGTGATCGTGACACCAGAATGTAGCATTGCATCATACTTTTGGTAGACTTCGGTTGGTCCCTGGGACTCATTTTGATTTGAGGCCGAGACCCCTAGGGACTGCCCACCTTGCTCACGCACCGGAGCGCCTTCTTCAGTTCCTGGCTGGCGATATCTGTGCATACGAAGGACGTGTTCTGACACATGTCGATCTCGCGTATCCTCGATGTCATCTGTGACGACAAACAGCAAGTCAAAACGTGAGAGCAGAGAGTCAGGCAGTGCGATGTTCTTGTGAGGATCCTTGTGAGGGTCATATTGGCCAAAAATAGGGTTAGCAGCAGCAACAACACTACAACGAGCATTCAGCGATGTGTGAATACCCGCTTTTGCGATGGTAACAGTCTGCTGTTCCATAACTTCGTGGATCGCAACTCTGTCAACGTCTGACATCTTGTCGAATTCATCGATACAAACGACACCACGGTCAGCCATGACCATGGCACCGGCCTCCAGTCGGCGCTCACCCGTCTCCTTATCAGAAGTTACTGCTGCAGTGAGACCAACGCCCGAGGAG